AAGCATTAATCCTTCCTTGTGGCATTTACTGCTTCTTGGTAAGGGCGGGCTGTCACAAATGTCAGTCCCTTTTTCTTGGAGCAACTGTCCTGTTGCCCTGTGGGCTCAGATTTGCCAGCTAAGAAACCCACTATATTCCCCAAGTGTTCCTGTGGCCTGTAGAAATAACTGGCTTTGTTTATTTGAGCTTGTGTTTATCCAGGGAAGGGAGACTTTTGTCTAGAACAGAATCCTTTTTTCACATCTTGATGTCAGCAACCTCAACTTCCTGCTGTAGCAAGAGGGGAGAGCAATGGGGCAGCAGCACTGGGATCAGTGCCCCAGACCACACTCCTGGCTCCATCCTTGGACCTGACGCTTGTGCCACCATTATTTCCCTGCATGTTGGAAGCTCTTGTTGGCTGCTTTCTTGCTGGAGAAATCCAGCCAGCAAGCAGTCAGTGTTAAGTGGTACCTGCACTGTTTGGGGAGGGGATCTTCTGGAGCCTGTTGCACATGGCATGGGGTTAAGTACCTGCAGTGTGTTGGGATGATGTTGCTGGGGGACGTGACTGGAGCTCTACTTGCAGGTGGATTTAAAATGGAATTGTAGACATGGTGGGCTCCAGAGCCAACAAAGGGATTTTGTCTTCAGGCTCTGCATACCCAGCTTTGAGGGTTAGGTTGGAGAAGACTCTTCTAAATTCCTTTCAAGGTCAGAGGGGAAGAGGCACTGTGGTGCTGTGGTTTTGGGATCTAGAGATGCCTACCGAAGATGCTTGTCACCTGGGTGGATCTGCTCCCTGGGGGTCTCTCACCAAGGAGCTGCAAGCTAACATTCCCAGCTCCTACTCTGAAAAAGCAAAACTGTGGGGCATGTAGTGACAGACCAGAACAGGAGTGAGAACATCAAAGCTCCCAAAGGCTGAGCTGAGCTGATCAGTGACATGGGATGTGTTGGGAGCAATGCTCCTATGATGGAGCACCTTTGGTCCATGTTCTGTCTCCTGACACACAGAGTCATGAGTTTGTGACTAGTAACAAGGCTCCCTCTTGGCTTTTCTTGTCTCCGTGTCTGCAGGAGTGAAAGGACCTTGTAGGTGGAAAAATGGTACATGTGCTGCATAGCTTCTACATGTGGGGATACACTGTAGCCTAGAACCATCTCAGATGCTTTGGTGGTCTCACCCTGAGTTCTGGCTGACATATGGGGTGCAGATCTGGGGGTGCCCTACACCGTCACACCCTCTCCACCCTTGGAAATGCACCACAGATATCTCTGCTAGTTGCTCTTCTAAGGACGTTTTGCTTTTGGCTTTTGTCACTCCAAAATGCATTTTTCTTGCCTGACTTTTATTATTGGGGACAAACCAAAATTCTCATAAATATGAATGGGTGGTCTGGATGGTCCAGGGAGTGGCATTAAAACCAGTGGGGTGTTTTTATTTCTGGTTTTCCCTCTTCTCACTCTCTGATTAATAGTTGCTGTTGTGATGTCCCCTTGAGGGCAGCCGATGCTAAGGAGCCAGCACTGCTAAGATGGCAGGCATTGCTCTGTGTGCATCTCTCCATGCCAGCACCCACTGCCATCCTTCCCTTCATGTGGGACCCCGTTCCACCTTCCTGGGGGACTGTAACAAGGGGTAGGTTTTAATTATCCCCCAGAGCCTGGCATCACTCCGGGCTCTCGGTGGATTTGCTTTTCCCCCGGCGAGCAGAGCCCGTGCTGGCCGCTGCCGCCCAGGCTTGGCTCCGTTCCACTTCTGTCCTCGGCGGTGGTGAAAGCACGTTCCTCGTGATGGGAAAGCCTCCGCCAGAAACACAAAGGGCTTTCATTAGAGGAGGCAGCGGCGGGCGGACACGGATGGCCAGCGCTGGCACACAGGAGCTTCACCCCATGTAACTCCCACAGGGGTGGCTGCAGACACACCGGGTTCCTCCAGCAGGGAGAGTGCAGCCAGTATTTAATCTTAGAGCCTACCCAGCATGGAAAAAGAAATGAATTTTATTTCTGCAAGGGGTATTTAGGGCCCAAAAGTGGTGTTGGGGCTGGCCAGAAGGTACAAGGCTGGTTTTTGGAGCTGGGGATCTCGGCTAGCACAGCCCTGGAGGTGATGTGAAATGCACTGCCGTGGGGTGGGAGTGCTGCCCACCACCCCCAGGCCAGCATTGCCCCAGGCTCCCTCTCTGCCTCCAATGGGGAGAGCAGCCAGGAGAGCTGCCCCATGCTATGTAGGACACTCCCAACCATCCTGCATCTCCTGACCTTGCTCAGAAAGCAGCAGGGTGAAAAGATCATGGCAACGGGAGATAAGGCACACATAGAGGGGGAGGTGAATTTCAGGGATTGATCCATGTGTCTTTTCCTCCAGCATGGCTTTCAGCTTTTTTTGGTTCTGCTCCTGCCCTCACCCTTGAAGAACCATCCTGAACCTTTTTATTTTGCTCTGGAGCTTCAGGCAAGGGAGCAGGAGAGCCGCCTTGTCTCCCCACGGCTGCTGAAAGAGGCTGTTTATTACAGAGCAGGGTGAGATATGAAATCCCATCAAGCCGCCTTGCTTATTAGAGATCTCAGTGAGCTGCTTATTATGCACCATGGCATCATGCAGATTACGAATGTGACCGGGCGATAATTAGCAGAGCTGGAACTGTAATTAAACGCTCCTGAGCTGCGCTGTGGTTTCTCTTGCAGAGTGGAAGGAAGCTGAACGGTCTCAGCAGGTCTCCAACGCGCACACACAGCCACCACTCCCCAGGCAATGGGGGCGAGTGATCCCTTCCACTCCCTGGGCTCTTCCTGCTGCCCACCCAAGCCAGGCAGCCCTGCCTGGTTCTTCCCTGGCTTTTCCTTTGCTGGAGACTGACTTGTGGTTTGCACAATGTGGCATTGAGGAGCCCCTTCAAAGAAGCCTCATGCTTCCTTGGAGCATCTTGCCCTGGATCTGCTGATGAGGTTGCTGTGTTTTGGGGGGTGATTTTCCTGTGGGAGTCTTCTGGAAGCTCCTCTGACAGCCTTCTGGGGTGGTTTTATGCCAAAACCACCCTTCTTGAGTCCCATGGGGTGCAGTTGGGCCACTGACCCTAGGGCAGCCTTGGAGGTGGGTGGTCTGGAGATGGGCTCCTGGGGGAGAGCTGGTTCTGTTGCTGGGAGATTGGAGGTGGTTGTGGATGACAAGCTGTGCTGCTGAGGAGGGGACTGTGGGGTCCAACCACTGTTGTTAGACACCTCCAGGCCATCTTTAGTGCCAAGTGGGCTGCATGTTGCTCTGATGAGCCATCTAGAGAGAGGATGGATGCAGGACAAGGAGAGAGCTGCAGACTGAAAGTGCTTTGTATTCTTCTGGAAGAGTAAATGCACTTGCCCTGTCAGAGCCAGGATGTGACATCCTCCTCTCTGCTCCTCTGCCTAGAGATTTGTGTCGCCAGGGCTGTGGAGAGAATCTGTGGGTCAGGAGTTGGTGGGGAGGTGGGATGCTCCAGGCACTTGCTGTGGTTGTGGGCACTGTTGGGTGGGGCAGGCTGGGTTGGATGTGCAAGGTTCTGCTGGAGTTGTTTCCCTTGCTTGAAGGATGGAGATGTGTGAGCAAGAGAGGGAGCAGGCAAATTTAGCAGCTGGTCAGGACCAGGATGAGAGTCATCAGCAAGGCTGGAAGGGATCGTGGGCTGGTGCCCATGTCCACACTTGGTAACCACAAAATTGGGCTCTCCAGGTCTATTATTTTCCCTCAGCAGAGTTCTAGAGGGTCTGGAAGTAGAAATGGGTGCTCTAGAGGAATCTTTGCCTGCTTGAAACTGAAACTCAGGTCAGCACTTGCTGCGGATGTGATGAATTTCCTCAGTCTGCTTCTCTTCTGAGGTAGCCCAGTGTCTAAAGATCACAAATGGGGAAGATAGGACGTGTAAGCTGAGGAGCCACTCGCCCCTTGCTGCAGGTCCTTGCAAGCCAAGGTGAGGGGGTGGCTGGCCATGGCTGGCTTGGCCAAAGGAGGAGAAGGTCTCCACCTTGCCTTGGCCAGCCACAGAATAAGTCCATCAGCCATCCTCCTCCTGACACTGCTGTAATCTGCTTGCGTGGCAGAGCGGCCAAGGACCTTGGCTTCTCAGCAGCAGGGTTGCTTGGCTGGGCTTCCACTTGGCATGTTGGCTTGTTGGCTTTCCAAGCCCGGCTCTGGCTGTGGGATCTGGTTTCTGTGTGCAAAGAGAGCACAATGGCTGATGAACCCCAAAGGAGGAGAAGGTCTCCACGTTGCCTTGGCCAGCCACAGAATCAGCCCATCAGCCATCCTCCTCCTGACACTGCTGTAATCTGCTTGCGTGGCAGAGCGGCCAAGGACCTTGGCTTCTCAGCAGCAGGGTTGCTTGGCTGGGCTTCCACTTGGCATGTTGGCTTGTTGGCTTTCCAAGCCCGGCTCTGGCTGTGGGATCTGGTTTCTGTGTGCAAAGAGAGCACAATGGCTGGATCAGGCTCTGAAGCAGATACTTGCATAGGGAAGAGGGATATCATCCAAGTGCCTGTGTCTGCAGGTGGTCACAGGGTAGTTCTGGAAGAAGAAGGATGTTAGTTTTCATGGGTGCCAGAGGGAGTCTGCTACTCGTTTGTCCTGTCCTGCTGGTTGAGCAGAAGCTCTTCTAGTGAGCCATCGGGTCCAGAGTCATTGACTGCATTAACATCTGAGCCATAGCCAAGAGGCATCCTCACCAGGCATGATTACAGAAGCCGTCGGGGAAGGAACTTGCCACAAGCTCTTTCAAGCAGGAGCAGAGATATCTCCTGCACAAGGACTTTTGGGTGTGATCTCTGTGACTACAGAGCTCCCCAGGGTTACATGGGTATGGGCATGCCAGGGCAGCAGAGCCCTGCGAGATCCTTGTCCTCTGATGGGATGTGGGACATGAACTGAAGGTGGCAGTCCTGAGCTTGAGGTTCTCCAGGAATGTAAATGTCTGTTGATACTTGCTCTCCCTTCCGTGTTGCCAGCAGTATTCCTGACAGTGACCACATTTCTCTTTTTTCCCCGCAGATGGAATCTCCAGTCTCTACGCCTGCAGTGTTGCCCTTGCATCTTCTTGTCCCTGTGGTCAACAACGACATCTCGTCGCCGTGTGAGCAGATCATGGTACGCACCCGCTCGGTGGGGGTGAACACCTGCGATGTGGCCCTGGCCACCGAGCCCGAGTGCCTGGGCCCCTGCGAGCCCGGCACCAGCGTGAACCTGGAGGGCATCGTCTGGCAGGAGACGGAGGATGGTGAGTGTCACCGAGCTTCTTGCTCTCTGACAGCGTCACGGGGAGTTGCGGCAGTCCCTTCCTTCCCATGTCTCTGCTGTGTTGTTCTTTGGCATGTCCTCGGCTTTCCTGCCACCAGTTGGGTGGTCAGGACAGAGGAGCTGTGTGAAAGCAGTCCATAATCCATCCAGTAAAGGGAGTAATGGGCCAGTGCTTGCATCAGCCCTGTGTGTTGCGTTATCCCTTTGCCCAGACAGCAGGCGAAAATCTAAGCTGCCATTTCTCTGCCCTTCGACAAGAGCTGACTTGTTCCGGAGGTGCCAGGGGAAAGGCCGTGCCAGCCGGCATGGGAATTTGACAGAGTTGACTTCATTTTTGCTTGGCAACCCGCAGGTCTGTCACAAAAACACTCAAACCCTGGGAGGTGGCAGAAATCTCCTGCTGGATTAAAAAACCCCAATGGAGCTCTCAAAATTGACTCAGTGGGAGATCAGCCTCTCGTCTCTCTTGCCAAGCCAATCCAATCTTTTTTTTTCCACTGGAGCTCATCTCATCCGTGCACAGCTTGGTTTGCTTTCCCAGGTCCTTTGATGGGTTTTCGTTGCTCTTGGGGCCCTGCCAAGGAATGCAGGGATGAATAGGTGGCTCAGTGGCCCATGGCAAGTGCTGGAACTTGGCCTTCCCCCTAGCCTGAGTGGGATGCTGGAGGTTTCTGCCTTGGGAGGCACAGGGTGAGCTCCTTGTGTTTGTGTCTGGAAGCAGAAACAGTCCAGAAGCACAAAGGTGAGAGAGAGCAGTGGTGGTGGAGGCTGGTTGGGGGATCATCTCAGCCAGGCATCCATGTGCTCCTCTTGGACATCTGCTCCCACTCTTCCATTGCTGTTCTGTCTGGAGAATGAAGCTGTTGGCTTTTATCCCAGCCACTCCTCACTGAGACTCTTTATTATTGGTGATGGAAGCTGAGCTGAAATCTCCATTCCCATTATCGACTTCCAGCGAGGTTCTCTTCTTGTCCCATGCTTTGGGAAGGTGGGGGTGGAGCCAATTTGCCTTTTCTCTCTTCCTTCTGGCAAACTGGTTTTGAAACCATGGTTGGCACAGGACCAAGTGCTGCAGTAGCTGCCAATGTGAGCACTGAAGTTATTCCCCTTGGTAAAAGTGTCTTGAGAAATAGCACCTGAGCTGTTTGGGAAGAGAGCAGTGGATGGACCATGCCAGGAAGACTGGGATGTCTAGCTTGGGATGGGGACCTCCACACTCTTCTCCTTTACCATCCATTCCATATGGGAAAAAAATCACCCTGATTGAGGCAGCTGGGAGCTCTAAGTGTGTTTTTCTGCTGCTCCAAAGCAGAAGCATGTCAGATGTAAAACCTGTGAGAAGAAACACAAAACAGGAGAGTTCGGGAACCCTGCTCTGAGCATTCCAGGGCCGGGGGATCTGCAGGGTGGATCTGCTCCAAAGAAACCTATGGAAGGTCTGCACTGATCTGCCACCTCCCCAGCACTGCGTGATCAGTGTCTGCAAGAGCCTGGTCACTTTGTAGGATACAACACCTTCAGCTGGGGAAACTGAGGCACAGCGGGTCTGGGTTTTGGGAGATACAGCAGCACAGAGGAGCATTGGCACCCTTCACTTGTGAGGCTCCCCCATCTCCCCAGCCCCATCAGCCTGCTGTCCTGGTGTGACTTCCCTCAACCCAAAAGCCCTGGAGCTGCAGAGTTCCCTGAAAATCCCAGGGCTGCTGGAGAGCCCCATGGGCAGCGGCAAAGCTGGGGAGAGCTTGGAACTTGTGTGGTGGTTTTGGGTGGAAATCAGGAGAGGGTCATGGTGGCCATGCCAGGATGGATGAACTGAGCATCCCTGAGGCAGGGAGCACGGAAACATCCCTCCCTGCCAGTTCCTGGTTGAGAGACCTTTCCATGGGAGCAGTTGCTGCTCTTTTCTCCTGCTCCTCACCCCACCATGGAGCTCCACACCTGTCTGCCTGTCTGTCCACATTACCCCTCACTTCCGCAGCCACCATTTCTGAGCATGCCTTGGAGGTGTCCTGTGATTTCCCACATCCCAGATTTTTTAGTCTGTGGTAATTCAGTGAACTCACACAGGGATGCTTCTCTGCCAGCTGCTGATGGTTGCCACTGTTGGGAGCAAGGATTTCACATCCAGTCCTGCACAAAGGCGAGCCCGGATACTGCTTTTGGTGTCTTTGGTCTTGGCTTCGGTCACACGGCATCTCTTGTCCTTGAGTGTAAAGGCAGGGGGGGAGCCATCCCTGGATTTTGCCTGGCATATCTCCCCTGTCTTCCCCTTGTTAAAGACGGAGTCGAGGGTGATGCTGGATCTGGCTGTCAGAAGCTGGAGCTTGTGAAATGTTCAGGGATGCAGCAATCATCTCCCCTCGCCCAAAGGATACAGAGGAGAAAGCTACACCAAGGGCATGTCTGCAAAGTCAGAAGAGCTGCTTCCAGCAGCTGCAGACTCTCCTCAATATCTCCAGAGGGATTAATTTCTCCCCTTGCTCCTTGGGATGGAGCAGCCTCATTGGACTGCATGGAAGGACCCCAGAGCAGTGGAGCAGCTCTTGGCTTGCATCAAGTTTAGAATGACGGAACTTAGGAATGGTTTAGTTTGAAAGGCACTTTAAAGCCCAGTTCATTCATCCCCTGCCGTGGTCAGGGACACCTTCCACTAGCCCAGGTTGCTCAAAGTCCCATCCAACCTGGCCTTGAACACTTTTAGGGATGGGGCAGCCAAAGCTTCTCTGGGAAACTTGTTCCAGGGCCTCCCTACCCTGCCAGGAAGGAATTTTTTTCCTAATATCCAATCTAAATCTCCCCTCTTTCAGCTGAAGCCATTACTCTTTGGCCTGTCACTTCTTTGGCCTTGCAGAAAGTCCCTCTTCAGCCTTCTTTTAGAGATCCCTTCAGGCACTGGGCTCTTAAGATCTCCCTGAAGCCAGCCTGCTCCTCTCCATGTGAGTCTGCAAAATCATGGAGAAAAGCTTCTAAAGCCAAAGCCAAAGCCTGGCAATGCTTGGAAAGATAAGTTGGACAAGAAGGACCTGTCCATCTGAGATGGGAGCATGAAGCTCTAGGGAACCTGATGATGTCCTTCTTCTCTGAACCAACTTTGTCCTTATCTCCCACTAGAAAATCTGCCATGAGTCCATGAGCCCTGCTAAAGGCATCCCAGAGGGCTCCCAACCATCTGGTTCCGGGCTTTTGGTCCCCCTTCTCCTCCACCATTCCAGGTTGGTGTTGGCCCAAGGACTGGTCTAGCTGGTAGTGACACTGTTATTCGTGCTCTCCTGTGGCCATGCTGGTGACACTGTCCCTTTGCTGAGCCTGGCTTGCACAGGGATGTGTTTTATCAGGACACTTTGAGTGGGGAGCAGCTGTCTTGGGAGCTCCCCTGGTGCTGCTATGTGTAATTCTGATCCTCAGGAACTGAGGAACAGATTAAGTGATCGATCACACCAGGAAGCATTGCTCTCTTGGCTGCCTCAGGAGCTGCCAGGTCTCCTCCATCCCCCTCAGTGAAGCTGGTGTCACCTGGCTTGGGCTGTGTCACCTTGTCACCTTCCCACGGTGCCACACCAGTGCTGATTGCAGCAAAACAAGCACAAACCCTCTGAGCCATGAGGATCATGGTGTGTCAGCACCTGGAAAACAGCAGCACACTGTACATCCCTTCCTCTAGTTCCTGCTGTGATGTTAGTGCCAGGTTACTCATGGCCCAGATTTCTGTACTCCAGACATTTGGATTGTCCTTTTGCAAACTTCTTGTGAGGGTATGATAGAGCACAAGCCTGCCCAGTGTTGGCACATGCCAGTGGATGTGTCCTTGCTTGGAGCAGGAGGGAAATGCAATAGATAGGGATAGAATGGGGAAGATAGGAGGGTGAGAGCAAAGACTTCTCAAATACAATGGATAGTGGCTTAGACGCTTCCTCTGCCAGCTCCCGTGGGAACCATGAGGTCTCATCAGGTCTCATGGACTTACACACACTGAACTTCTCTTACAGGTGGTTCTTCCTTCTCCCTGTCTTTGCCATCTCCATCTCAGGTGGTGTGGCTGGAGCAGGTGTTGCTGGTGAAGATCAAGGCAAACAGATCATTGAGCCCCTTAGCTTGGGCTGCCCCAACTGCAGGCTTCGTTTGTGTGTTTGAGTTTCTCCAAGAGTTCCTTGTTAATGCATCAGGCCTCCTGGCATTTCCACCTGAATTCTCTTTGTTGGGATGCATTGCTCCTGAATTAAGGAATGATCCTTGGATGTCACCCAGCTTCCTTGGGTTCCACTCCCCTCCAGCACTCTGTCAAACGGGTCTCTGAAGAGCCCATAGTCTTCTCTCCTGGAGTCCAGGGCAGTGATCCTTCTGTGTGCTGCAGTCCCTGGAAAGCAGTTGGATGGCCAGGGACAGTCATGCACCACTTGAACATCCATCCCTGCATGGTGTGATGGGATGATCCCATCTCCCAGTGGCCCTGCCAGGGAAACCATGTTGCCTGTCGGGGTTTGATAGAGGGAACTTCTCTGAGAAGACACCAGAAACCTCCCCCATGTTGGACAAGGTCAGTTAAGGCAGAGCCTGTCAGCAATGGGGGCAGGATAATGTATTTAGGAAGGGGAGAAAAAGCAGCCCCCATTCCCCATCCCCCTGTGCTGTTTGGGGGCAGAAATCTAGAAATCAGGAATAAAGTTGAGCCTGGGAGGAAGCCGGGAGAAAGTATTTTAAAGTTTGGTTTTATTTCTCATTACCCTACTCTGATTTAATTTGTAATAAATTAAATTAGTTTCCCCAGGGTGAGTCTCTTTTGCCCGTGATGGTAATTGATGAGTGATCTCTCCTCACTGGGGGAGGTGACAATTATGCTGGACAGCCCTGTGATGTCCCCTGTCTCCTGGCAGGAGCATGGTGGCCATGAACAGCTTTGGTGTTGTGTCCCAAAGCCTGGGCACTACAGGTCAGGTGGGATCTCTGACATGGGCAGGGCTTAGGGAAAAGCTGGAGTGTCCTGAAAGTAATGCAGCTGGAGAGGAAATAACAAAGATAATGTTAAAGATGATGCAGCTGGGGAAGAAATTCATGGAAGAAGGGGCATCCCAAAGCCAGGACATACTGGAAGTGATGCAGATGGAGGAGGAGTTCATGGAGATGTTCTTGGTTGGGCTTAGGGGATTCATTGAAAAGAGGGGAAATGTGCCCCAGTAGAATGGCTCCTGGTGCCCACAGCACCTTGTCCTCCATCCCACATAATCCCAGGATTTTCTCATACACTGCCTTCCTGAATTCCACTTTGCACCGTCACCAACCCTTAATTTTTCCAGCCAGGATACAACTCTGATGTGAGCACTTAGTGAGCAGGATGCTGAGTGATTTACACCCAGATTTGGGTGATATTGATTCCTTAAGAGCTTGAGAGATGTCACCTTCCCATGAAACCAGATGGGATAGGAGTTACCCAAGTGGGATTCCTTCTGTTCAAGAGCATTGGTGTTCTTGGAGATGTGAAAACATTGCTTCCTCACTGCTGCCCTTGTCATGCCTGCTCATCATCCTGCCGTGGGAGGGGGACACAGTGGGTGAAAAAAGCTGCTTAGGATCTATCCTGGGGTTTAAATTGTCCTGGGTTATTGTTGGAGGATTAGGAGGGGATTTGGTGTGATTGGTTGCAGCGGGTTAAATATAGGCTGGTGTGTGTTGGAAGTCTGGCGTTCCAACAGGGAAGGAGACATGGTGCCAGCTCGTTTTGCCCCTTCCTCTTTTCATGTCTCTCTTGTGACTGTGGTGGTCGGGATGAAAAATGCCAGCACTTCTTTCTAATATCACACACTGGCCCCAGGATGCACAAGAGACTGCAAGTGGTTTGCCATGCAATTAACTTCCAGTGGCTCACGTGGTCTTCTCTGCCTTCAGAGGGATTGAACTGGCAGGGAGAGCAGAGGGACTGGGAGGAATGGGGCCTGGGTTAGTGCTGCATGTTCCTCAGTGGCTCCCAGGTCCTTGGGCAGCTCCTGGGAGGATCCCACAGCAGCTCTTCAGAGGTGTCCTGGGAATGGTGGGGTTGGGTTGGGGTGCAGGATGCAGCCAGGAGCTTATTTGGATTTTAAGGAAAGGGGGACAGGCTTGCCAGAAACTGCTACATTAGGAGGAGCAGAGGGCCACATTCCATGTGCCCTCTTTGGGATGCCTGGAACCAGCATCCCACTGTTGCCACTGATATTTCCATGCATGGGGCTGTGGGTTCCCAGCATTGGTTTCTCCCTCAGGTTGTCTCCATAATCACAGCCTGGCCATGTCTTTGTTGAGGTAGGTCCTCAGCACCTTCCTCTGAAGGCAGAACCCAGCGTCTCTTGCTCACTGGGATGAGCCAGTTGTGGCTCTTGGCCACGTGCTGGCACCGTGTGTTCCCATGATCTGCTTGCAACATTTTCCAGGAGGAAAAGGAGCCAGGAGCTTCTTTGGATTTTAAGGAAAGGGGGACAGGCTCCTGCCTGCCAGAAACTGCTGCATTAGGAGGAGCAGAGGGCCACATTCCATGTGCCCTCTTTGGGATGCCTGGAACCAGCATCCCACTGTTGCCACTGATATTTCCATGCATGGGGCTGTGGGTTCCCAGCATTGGTTTCTCCCTCAGGTTGTCTCCATAATCACAGCCTGGCCATGTCTTTGTTGAGGTAGGTCCTCAGCACCTTCCTCTGAAGGCAGAACCCAGCGTCTCTTGCTCACTGGGATGAGCCAGTTGTGGCTCTTGGCCACGTGCTGGCACCGTGTGTTCCCATGATCTGCTTGCAACATTTTCCAGGAGGAAAAGGAGAAAGAGGAGGTCTGCATTTCATTTCTCTTTCTGAAGGAGCCCCACGTGTCAGGCCTTGGCTCCATGTATTATCCATGCCGAAGCCTGCAGCTGGCTGCTGGCATAGCACAACGGGGGATGTGGGCTGAGATTTATAAACATGCTTCAGGCGCAGCTGCTCCGGGCTCCCTTGGCTCCATCCATCTCCCAGGGCCATATATCTTGCTGCACTCATCAACCCTTGCAAACCCGTTCCTGAGTTTTACCTTGCTTGGATAAATGTGCCTGGCACAACAGACTGTGCTCCAGTTGTGTGGAAATCAGAGTGATCCATGGCAAGGAGGAGACACACAATGCTGAAGGGTGCTGTGGGAGACCCCTCTGCCTCCCAGAAGAGGTGCTGAGGGTCACAGCGTGGGTGTGAGCCAGGCAGTTCCTCTTCTGAATTAGTGTGGAAAAGCTGAAACTCCAAGGTTTTCTGAATGCCCAGTGACTTTGCTTCATGATGGGAGGAGGTGGCCCCATGGATGGTTCTCCAGATGGAAATTCAGGGCAGAGGGATTTCCTTGGAGGTGCTGAAGCAAAGTGGCCCTTGGCCTCAGTGTGGGTGTGAGCCAGGCAGTTCCTCTTCTGAATTAGTGTGGAAAAGCTGAAACTCCAAGGTTTTCTGAATGCCCAGTGACTTTGCTTCATGATGGGAGGAGGTGGCCCCATGGATGGTTCTCCAGATGGAAATTCAGGGCAGAGGGATTTCCTTGGAGGTGCTGAAGCAAAGTGGCCCAGGGCAGCGGAGGGTTATTCTGCCAGGACTGGGTTTTCCTGCCAGGGACAGTCGCCTGAGCAGGAATGCTGGGCTCAGCTTGCCATCTAGTGGCAGCAGCAGCTTTTTCTGAAGGGTCATGCTGTTCATGCAGACCCATGCTGGGTCTGCAGCTCCATTCTAGGGTCCACACTCCACTCTAGGGTCCACAGCCTTGCTATGAGCTTTCTGCATTTCCCCCAGGGTCTTCCCAGATCTTTCTCTGTGGAGATCACATTCCCTGTCCTACCTGAGCACATGTGGAGCCAATGTGGATCTTCAGGTCCCCCCTGGAGGGCTGAAATCCCACAGCCCTTTGGGGGTCACTGGGTTTTAACATCCCATGAAAGTAGGGAACGGGAAGAGAGGTTAGGTGAGACATGCCAAGGGAAGGGATGAGCTGGGAGTTTCCAACTCCCATCTTGGTGCCCCTCCAGTCTTGGAGCCCAATGTTTCACCTCTTCTGAGAGCCCATGACCAATTGTCCATTCTCCTTCAAATCTAGAGCTAATCTCTTCCTCCTGCCTGTCTGGAGGGGCAGGTTCCTGGCACCTTGGGATCACACCTGGCCCCATCTGACCCTTTCTCCTCGCCTTGCAGGGATGCTGGTGGTCAACGTCACCTGGAGGAACAAGACATACGTGGGGACACTGCTGGACTGCACGCAGCATGACTGGGCGCCTCCCCGGTAAGTGGGTGGGGGGCTCTGATGGGCTCCTGGTGCTGAGGGCAGATCTGGCCCTGTATGGCCCCCATGGAGCCTGGCACACTGCCCTGTGCCCATGGGGCTGCCACAGAGGTTGGCATCTCCGCCTTGCCCAACCCAGCTGCTCCCATGACTCTTTGCCCCTGCAGTCACACGTCCCTTGCCCTGGGGACTGCAGATGGTTTAGCACAGCCCAGGGGACCTCTCTGTTTCCTCCTTATGGGTCAGTGGGGAGAGAAATCTATGGGATTGGTAGCGAGGGGAGTAAGGGGGTCCCCACTGTGCCTTGGGGACAGCACAGCCCAGCACAACCACCTCTCTATTGAAACCTGTGTGTCCTCCTCCCTGTAGGTTCTGTGACTCTCCCACCAGTGACCTGGAGATGCGCAACGGCCGGGGCAGGGGCAAGCGCATGCGCCCCAACAGCAACACGCCAGTCAATGAGACGGCCACGGCCTCGGACAGCAAGGGCACCAGCAACAGCAGCAAGACCCGGGCGGGAGCCAACAGCAAGGGCCGCCGGGGCAGCCAGAACTCCTCGGACCACCGCACCCCGCCTGGCGGCACCACCGAGGACGTGAAGGCCAGCCCCTCCTCCGTCACCAAGCGGAAGAGCAAACCCCTCTCCGACATGGATCTGAACTCCAGCTCCGAGGACTCCAAGGGCAGCAAGCGCATCCGCACAAACTCAATGGGCTCGGCCACGGTGCCGCCTGCCACGGTCAAGGTGGAGCCAGCTGTCCTGGAGCGCAACTGCCCTTCTCCCATCCTCATCGACTGTCCCCACCCCAACTGTAACAAGAAGTACAAGCATATCAATGGGCTGAAGTACCACCAGGCCCACGCACACACGGATGATGACAGCAAGCTGGAGGCGGATGTGGACAGCGAGTATGGCGAGGAGCCCTCCCTGCATGCCGACATCGGGAGCTGCAACGGTGCTGCTGGGACACAGAAGGGCTCCCTCTCACCTGCTCGCTCGGCCACCCCCAAGGTGCGTTTGATGGAGCCACACAGCCCCTCCCCATCCAGCAAGTTCAGCGCCAAGGTCCCCTGCAAGAAGAAGGTGGGTGGGGAAGGGGACACAGATCTGGGTGCTCTGTCCAATGATGGCTCTGAGGATGGTCCTTCGGTGGCCGATGAGACGAGTAACGATGACTTTGACTCTCTGGAGAAGCGATGCATTGATAAGGACAAGTCAAAGAAGTCCTCTGGTGCTAAACAGGAGAAGGTTCCTTCCAAAAGCTTGAAGTCCGCCAGACCCATTGCACCAGCCATCCCCCCGCAGCCAATTTACACCTTCCAGACTGCCACGCTGACCACAGCCAGCCCCGGCTCCTCCGCTGGCCTCGCCACAACTGTGGTCCAGACCATGCCCAACAGCCCCCAGCTCAAACCCATCCAGCCCAAGCCAACAGTGATGGGAGAGCCCTTCGCTGTCAATCCTGCCCTCACCCCTTCCAAGGAGAAGAAGAAGAAAGACAAGAAGAAGAAAGAGCCCAAAGAGGTGGAAAACCCTTTGACTCCTGGCAAAGCCTGCAGAGCGGAGGAAGGTAAGAGTCCTTTCCGGGGGGAATCCAGTGAGCTGGGGATGAAAGGCGAGGGGCTGCTGAACGGTTCATCTGACCCCCACCAGAGCCGGCTCGCCAGCATCAAGGCCGAGGCAGATAAAATCTACAGCTTCACCGACAACGCACCCAGTCCCTCCATCGGCGGGGCCAGCAGGCTGGAGAACACCAACCCAGCCCAGCCCCTGACCCCACTGCACGTTGTCACCCAGAATGGGGCAGAGGCCAGCTCGGTGAAGACCAACAGCCCGGCCTATTCGGACATCTCTGATGCTGGGGAGGATGGGGAGGGCAAGCTGGAGAGCGTGAAGGCAAAGGATCCAGAGCAGCTGGTCAAGGAAGGCGCCAAAAAAGCTCTTTTCCCACCACAACCACAGAGCAAAGAGTCTCCCTTCTACCAAGGCTTTGAAACCTACTATTCCCCTGGCTACCCCCAGGCTAGCCCAGGACCCCTGAACCCCGGCGGGCAGTCTGCGGCCGAGACACAGACCTTGAAGCTGAAGAAGGACGAGGAGCAGGAGAACCCGGAGGTGAAGGTGAAGAGTGAAGGCTGTGAAGAGAAGAAGGCAGAGCTCGGCAGTGGCTCCAGCCAGCAGCCCTCAGTCATCCAGCAGCGCCCCAACATGTACATGCAGTCCCTTTACTACAACCAGTATGCCTACGTGCCGCCCTATGGCTACAGCGAGCAGGGCTACCATGCCCACCTGCTGAGCACCAACCCTGCCTACCGCCAGCAGTATGAGGAGCAGCAGAAGCAGCGGCAGAGCCTGGAGCAGCAGCAGCAGCGAGGGCTGGAGAAGAAGGCGGAGCTGGGCTTGAAAGAGAGAGAGGCGGCCCTCAAAGAAGAATGGAAGCAGAAGCCACCCATGCCCCCAACGCTGACCAAAGCCCCAAGCCTCACGGACCTCGTCAAGTCGGGGCTGAGCAAGCCCAAGGAGCAGGGAGGTCCTGATATGGCCAAATCGGTCATCATCCCCAAGCTGGAGGACTCATCCAAGCTGTCCAGCAGCCAGGTCGCCGAGGGGCTCAAGGTGAAGCTGGGTGAGGCTGGTCACCTAGGGAAGGAGACGGCTGAGACGAAGGCTGGCTCCGAGTGTGGCCGGCAAGCGGAGGTGGACCCTGTTCTCTGGTACAGACAGGTAATGCCCTGCCCTGTCTGCCAGCCCAGCCTTGGGTTTGCTCCTGCAGGAAGCTGCTCACTGGGCTTTGCAGGGGCCATCACCTCAGAGAACATGTGTTGTCCTCTGCTTGTGGTGGGACTCCGTGAGAGAAAAAGGGTGGGGCTGTGAGGCCACAGATGAGCTAGGGAGAGCTCAGGGAAGGGAAGTGGGGTTTGCCGGTCTCCTTCAAACCCAGCATGGATTTGGGACAGGTAGGACTGCGGGGAGGCAGCTGCTCTGGTGATCGGCTGTTCTTGTGGGAAGTGGAGACCGCAGGTGGGCCAAGGAGAGCCCGGGGAAGGGGAATGGGGTTTGCCAGTCTCCTCCAAACGCAGGCTGGTTTTGGGACAGGCAGGGCCGGGGGAGGCAGCTGTTCTGATGGCTGGCTGTTCTTGCAGGAAGCTGAGCCCCGGATGTGGACCTATGTGTACCCAGCAAAGTACTCAGACATCAAGACAGAGGATGAGCGGTGGAAAGAGGAGCGGGACCGAAAGTTGAAGGAAGAAAGAAATCGAAGCAAAGAAGCCTCGTCCAAGGAGGACGGGAAGGAGAGCACCAGCTCCGAGTGCAAGCTGACCCCCACCGAGGAGGCTCGCATGGTGGGGAAGGACCCCAGGCCCAGTGTCCACGTCCCCGTGTCCTCACCCCTCACGCAGCATCAGTCCTACATCCCGTACATGCACGGCTACTCCTACAGCCAGTCGTATGACCCCAACCACCCCAGCTACCGTGCCATGCCCACCGTCATGATGCAGAATTACCCAGGTAGGGAGCCGGGGGCTTCAAGGGGTGTCCATTCCCAGCTGTCCCTGCTCTCAGGGTGGGGGGGGACTGTGGGACATCCTCTCACACACATACAGAGCCACATGCTCCCACTGTGCTGCTGGAATACTCCGGGTGCCCTGACTGCTCTTGTTCCCCCAGGATCATACCTACCCTCCAGCTATTCCTTCTCTCCGTATGGGAGCAAGGCATCCGGCAGCGATGACAGTGACAAGTCCCGAGCCAGCCCCAGCGTGAGCTGTAAATCCAGCTCGGAGTCCAAGGCCCTGGACATCCTGCAGCAGCATGCCAGCCACTACAAGAGCAAATCCCCCACGGTGAGCATCAGCAGGGCACTGGCTTCGCCCAGCTCTGTGGGATAGTTCCTAGATCCTATAATGAGGTGGGATCAGGTCCATTTGTCATGTGGATTTGCTGTTTCTGCTTGCTGTGGGGGACCTGCAGCCATGGATTCCAACATTACAAATCCTTTGGGATGGACCAGCCAAACCTGTGCCCCAGCACTGGGGCATCACCAGGCCCTGCAGCAACCAGGTGACACTTGTCCTCAGCCCTGGAGCTGGCAGGTGGGATGTGGGGGCTGTCTCCATCCCGTGGCTCCTCCTGGGCTGAGCTGGGAGACAGAGCTTGGACACAGTGAGGAAAGAGTGCTCCTCAGACAGGCCCTGTGTGCACCACATGGCTTTTGGCCATCCCACCCCATTTTGGTGGGAACCTTTTGGGCAAAGGCAGAGGGAGCATCCCAACATGTGCCCCAGGGTTGCTGGTCATGTCCCTCAGCACGTGTCTGCTCTCTCCTCTCCAGATAAGCGAGAAGACGTCTCAGGAGCGGGAGCGCAGCGGCTGTGGGGTGGTGGGGGGCGGCGGCAGCTGCAGCAGCGTCGGGGGAGCGGGCGCGGGCGAGAGGAGCGGCGACCGGCCCCGCACGTCGCCCTCGCAGCGCCTGCTCTCCACGCACCACCACCACCACCACCTCGGGTACTCGCTGCTGCCAGCGCAGTACAACCTGCCCTATGCAACAGGTGAGAGTGGGGCCGGGCTGGGGGGGAGCTGCACCTGCCCTTGGGCCACGGGACCCTCACATTGTCCCCGAGGGCCCTGCCTGGCAGCTGCTGACACCTCTTCTCCCCGGCAGGTCTCTCCTCCACAGCCATCGTGGCCAGCCAGCAAGGCTCCGCTCCCTCCCTGTACCCGCCTCCCCGGAGGTGAGAACGGTAAGGCTCCGCTCCTGCCGCAGCTCCAGGCCGGGCTGGGCGCTCACGGGATGCCCTCGAGGCTTTAGGGTTTGCCCATGGCTGTTGGGGCTCGCGGGAGCTGACTTGCCCTTGGGTCGTGGCAGGATGTGACACACCGGGATGCCTGGGCTGTACAAGACGTGTGACTGGCTCACATGGAGAAGTGCTGGAGACTCCTTTAGACATCAGTTGAATGGTGTTAATTGTACTGCTTGACGTTCCTGCCGTGATCTGAGGCAGACTCTGTCTTCTCCCCTCATCGGACACACACTGACTCCCCGCCCCACCCCTCTTTGGGGAGTGGGGGAGCTGGTACCTGCGGATATATTTATTCTACTGAGCACCAGCACTTGGGGTGGAGGCGACTCACCTGCCTGGTGCATATGAAGAGGAAACAGAAGCACTGAGGTTTCTTGATGAATTTGGGACCCTGCCGTGTCTCTGTGAGCTGCTGCTTCACGATAGGACTGGGGGCAGGTGGGGACTTGGAACATGGGGCCGAGCCTGCCGTGTGGCCACAGTCTCAGGAAAGGAAGGAAGGACTGGCTCACAGAGCCTTGGCGGGTGTCAGGGGCTGGTGTGAGCCAGGCGGGTGGGTGGCAGCCTGGCTGGAGGCAGCTGTGGGGCTCTCCCAGTCCCTCATTTGGTCCTGCACCCCACAGCACCCACAACTCTGTGCCTGGGGGCAGGAGCCACCAGCACGTGGCCAATGGCCAGAGTGGGGCTGGGGAAGCTCTTGGCCCCAGCAAAACAGCCTCTGCCCTTGGGGGCTGGGGCTCCGTGGGGCTGGGGGCAGCAGGGGACAGAGCTGGGGGCTGTGTCTGTCACCCCACAGGCTGCCAGGGCCCCCCAGGCTGTGCACGGTCCAGACCTGCCTGAAGCTCCTGCCTGTGGCTTTTGCTTTGGTTTCGGAGCTGCAGCTCTGCAAATCCCAGCCTTTTCTCTGCCCCACTGTCACAGCAAGTGCCCCCCAAACCCTGGGGCAGCACATCCTGCTGTGGGGGGCTGTGGCTCCCCTTTTCATCCACCTTTTGCTTTTAGGGCAGCTTCCCCAGGCCGCAGGCAGGGCGCAGCAAGAAACAAGCACACTTAGGTTCTGCTGGAGGCATGTGGGGCCATGCCGGTCCCCGCTCCAGCCTCGTGCCAGGGCTGGGGGCACCAGGCCCTGGAGGAAGATGGTCCCCACTCCTGGCTGCTCCCAGCTCTGAGGACAGGGGCTTTCTGGTCCTCTGCCCCCAGCCCCAGAGCGGCTCTCCCCAGGCCGACACTCTACCTCGGCCCCGCAGCGGCCGGGCCGCCCCTGCTGTGTCCCCGCCTCTCCCGCTGCCCGGCCGGGGGACATGGGGGCCATCGGTCTCAGTTGTGTGTGTCCGTGTCGCACCCGGCCCCGAGGGCCGCTGTACGGGGATGCTCTGCCTGCTGGGCTCTGTACATACTGTAAAAAGCAATTGTTTGAAAGCTGTTGTTTTGGGTTTTGTTTTCTTTCCCCGTTTCTTCCCCATCCCGCTGTACCCAGTTGGAAAGGAGGTGCTGGCTGCTCTCGGCCCGGTTCAGGTGCTGGCAGCACAGTGGCCCCAGCCTGCTCTTGTTGTCTGACTCATTTTTCTTCCACTCTTTGTTGTGTTTGGAAGGAGACGGGGCCGCGTGGCCCAGCACACTCCGCAGGGACAAGGTGGGTTGATGGGCCCACCCCGTACCCGTCACAGAGCCACACACAGCCACAGGACTGGGGACTGGCGGGGTCGGGGTGCTTTGGAGAGCCCCACATCCCACCTGTGGAGGAGCGTCCCGCTGGCTGCTCCTACCTCCAGCCTCGGCCGGCCCGGCCCAGCCGGGCTCCCAGCACGGCCGGGGCCCACCGCGGCTCCAGCGGCGCAGAGGAAGTGCCTGGGGGTGTTGGGGGGTGCCGCAGTCGGAGGGGCTCGGGGGGCTGCTCCCCACCTTCCCACTTGGGTCCCAGTTGAGTCTCCCTTTAGGTGTTAAATGAAACAACAGTTTATGCAGAATAGGTTTGAGGTTTGACATTTTCCGGGGTCTCTGGGCCAGCTGCTGCCCACGGGGCCACCCCCAGCCCCGGTGTCAGACCGTTGGTGTTTATAGCTCGTTTCCATTGGCGTTGCTGTGTTGGGTTTCATTTCAGTCTTCCTGACTCTGCCCTTCTGTAAAGTGTACATTATTACCAAGTTCCTTGTTTTTTTATATATATATATATAAATATATATATATACAAACTGTACTCTTCTTGCCTTTGTACATTTAGGCAAGGAGGGAGAATAAATCTTTTTAAGAGACAATCACAAACCTGTGAGGGTGGCTTTTTCTTGCTGTTCCCCCAAGTCTGGTCCTTTATCCCTAAAGAGTGTGGCCAGTTATTTTTGGGGGTGGGCCAGGGGGTTTCCCCATATTGGGCATCTGAGAAGGCTCCTGGTGCTCATTGACCCCCTGGATCCACCTCTGCCCCAGCACTCGTGGCTCTGGTGGGTGCTGCAGCTGAGCTCAGACCTGGTAATTGGAGGCTGAACCCCTGGGCACCAAGGCCCTGCCCTACACCACGGCCTCAGGGTACAGGAGGTGCTGGAGGCACAGGGCAGGCACAAGGTGGGGTTTGGCTCCTCCAGCTTTGCCATGGAGGTGATCCGTGTGAGGGGCAGCACCCAGGGACATCAGAGCCACCTTCCAGATTTTTCAGAGGGTGTTTTGGAAGGTATTTGGCGATCTGAGAAATGCACATTAGCCCTCCTTTACTTGAGGAGGGCAGGAGAGGATTTGAAATTGTCAGAGAAGCCACATGCAGTGGCACAGCCTCATATTTCCAGCACAACAAAGAGCTCATACCAGTCTCACTCCAGCTCCTGTGACCAGAATCCATGTTCCAGTCAGTTTTACCAGTCAGAAGCAAAGTGGTTCCCATCCCATCAGCTGGGATGTGCCAGCCTGGGGCACCATGGGGTGGCAGCCAGCCCCTGGCACATGCAGGGACACCCAGGAGGCACCCCCCCAGTCCCCAGACAGTCAGGGCAGCTCCAGCTACAAGAAGGGATAAAACTGCACCCTTCTGCAGCCAGCAGCAGCACTCAGCAGTTCAGCCAGGGAACACCCATTCCCCAAGGGCTCCTTTTTCAGAGGACAGCCTGGTTGATTTTAAACTGGGTAGATTTTAAACTGGTAGAGAGGGTCTAATGCCCTGCTGGAGGGAGCAGAGCTCCTTTCCCTCTTGGTTTCATGGAGGTGAAGGAGGGCAAAAGAGACCCAAATTTATGATTATTTATTCACACACACTCATATGCCAGCCCCACTCTCCCTAGCCAAGCACACAAGGTGGATATGGAATGACTCGGGTCCAGCTTCCCAACAGAATCATCCATGAAGGGCAAGAGCACAACAGGAACAATCCCACAAGGAGCCAGGCCAGGAAGAGCTGAGGGCAAGGCCCTGGGGCACATCCCCCTTCCCTGGGGCCTGCCAGACAGAGCCAGCCAGGATACAGGGACAGTGCCACAGGACAGGGACAGGGCTGGGCTGAGCCATGACCCACTGCTGGCACCATGGCCCCTTCCTGGAAAAGCCCCTGGATGGGGGGAATATCCCAGCACCTGCCCCCATACAACCCATTTGTTTGGATACAGCCATTGGTGGTATCTCATGCATTGAGCTTATCCCTGTGGGAAGATGAGTAGGAGCAGAGGTGAGGGCTTGGGGTTCCAGACCCATCCTAGGGTGGATGGTAAAGGCAGGAGCTTTTCTTGGCTCTTTGGACCATCCCAACCATCATGGTGCAGGTCAGGAAACTGCTCCTCCCAAATAAGCAGCCCCAAATGTGTGAAGTCATCTGAATGCCCCTTTTATTGAATGCTGTGATAGTGTAGTGGGAACATGGAACAGGGTTAAGACTGCATAAAACAAAAGCTGGAAGAGCAAGAAGTTTCAAAAAAAAAAGGGGAAAAAAAGGTTAGACCAGTTAAACCAGCATTGGAGTGGAGATGTATGGGGGGTTTAATGTAGTGTTAAAGGATAAACTTGAGTGTCTCCTGCACGTGCCCCACACCAAGCCAGGCTGTTTGTAAGGTCTTGAGTGGGGAATGAAGGGGTTGTGTCCCAGCTGAGCCCACGCTGGGCAGGCAGGAGGCACCAGTGGGGTTCAGAGGAGTCCCGAAGGTGGTACCGACCCCGGGGCTCCCACACCATGCAGCTGCATGGGAAGAGCTCCTATGCCAGTTCATAAACATCTTCCTTTTCCTAATGATGATTACATGTGTGATAGATAGTTCTCTAGGCAACATGTTTCAATGAGAGTCAACTCTGGGGATACACAGCCCAATCTAACAATGAGAAATGCGCTTGCAGTCCAACAGAAGCTCTGCTTCCCTCTCCTCAGGAAAGGAGGTGGTCCTCTCTCCCCTCCACAGCATGTTAGGGTCCCACTGGAGTTCCCCTGTGCAGCTATTCTTCGTCGGAGGAAGAGCTCTGCTCCAGGGGGTACACCATGAACATCACGTCGGGCCGCGACGGGACAGCGGGATGGCCGGGCCGCACGATCTCGAAGCCCAAGAAGCTGAACGTCTTCAGGAGTGGAGCTACCAAAGAGAGGGAGAGCTGTTACCACCAGCAATAATCCTCTTTACCTCTCCCTTGAGCCATCAAAGTGTGTGGGACACCCTCTGTGAGTGCATCCAGAGCGTCCTAAGCAGAGAAGCACAGCCCTCTCCAGCAGATCCCCTGTGAGAAATAGTAATCACTCGTTGTCTGCCTGCACCAGCTGCACATCTGGTGGCATCCCATAGGATTTGTCCTGCCCCATCACCCCTTGAGCACCAAGAGAGGACAGAGAGCAGCAAAGAGGAATCTGCACAGGGACAAGGGACATTTGCTGTCTCCACAAGGAGGTGCTGGAGCTCAGTGGGAACTCCAGACAGCTCTGCACTGCTCGAGATGGGACCCCAGGAAAGCCACTTATGATCTGTGGGAATTCAGAGTGGCACCATGCCTGTGTCACTGAAGCAGTGGCTGCCCTGTGACCTGTGACACTCACCCTGGTGCAGCGTCCCACCCCTATGGCACCCTCAGGCAGTCAGCTCCAGGACTGAGTGACAACGCAGAGGAGCTCCTGAAGATATTTTCTGGCAGCAGTGAATTTCAGCTGCACAGGCAAGGACCCAGGATCTGGACCACTCCAGAACTCCTACAAACAACCCCTGGCATTGGCTGTCCCCTGTCCCCAGCCTCCACAGGGGCCACCTACGCAACCGGTGCTAGTGGTGACATAACAGCCAGGGCTTGATTTGGAAATTATTCCTGGCATGGTAATGAGGGATGATGACATCTTCCTGGGCTCAGCTCAGCTTTACTAAGGCCCTTAATTTTGGAGAAGCCAGGGCAGCTCATGAAGCTGCAGAGTAAAATTAGAATTGGGGCTGGAATTACTCGCTAGGATACAGCCTGACTCTGGTGGGATTTAGAGTGACATGTTCCCAGCCTGGTACATCCCCAGCCCCCTGGGCTCTAATCCCTCACCCAGCACGTCTATCTTTAGACCCTAATGCAGGCCCCAAAGCCATAAGCATCTCGAGCCAGGGCCAGGATTACCTGTAAGCCTGGAAAGGACAGAAGTGCCAGGAGATATTTAAAAAGCTGATGAATTTCAGGGCAACAGGCTCTAAGTGCTTGCTTTCTATCTAATAACTCCTCCCTGGTTTCACCTTCCATGTCACAGCAGCCTGGTGCCAAACAGAGACTTCACTGCTCACTAAAAGGAGAATATTAACTGACACTGGATGAGAAAATCACCCCAAATCATTCAGGAGCAGCATTTTGCACCAGAGTATTTAATGGCAGGGCAGCAAAGCAGATGAATGGAATCTGGTTTGTGCTGGAAGGGATCTTAAAGCTCGTTGAGTTCCACCCCACTGCCACAGGCTGGGACAACTTCCACTGGACCAGGCTGCTCTAAGCCCTATCCAGCAGACCTGCTGGAGAAACCACAACACTCCCTCACCCTTACCCTCCACACAAAACTATTCCTGTAGGAATTATGCACATAACAATCCCTGCACAGGGAGGGTCCCATGGGTCTTGCCCTGGGGTGACCAAGTTCCTTTACAGCTTCAGCAGCACTGTGTGGGATGTCTGGAGTGAACCTGAGCATGGGCCAGCCCTCACCTCGATCTTCTCTGCTTTTTCTGAAGCAGATGAAGACATAGTTGACTTTCATTTTTTCTTCAGCAAACTCCAGCAGTGCTGACAACCTGCCAAGGAGGGAGAAGACAAAAGGACATCAGCTCTGGGAAGTCCTGTCCTGAGGAAGCCTCTGAGCATTATCGAATTATCAACGGTTTGGATGATTTCGGACACAAAGATTGTTTACAGTGCTCTTCCAGTGAACAATGGGTGCTGAAACAATGGGCTTCCTGCCCTGCAGATTCAAGAGCTGTCCTTGCTCCGAGTCAGGATAAGTTCCTGTCCTCACAGCCACAAACACCCTCCCCACCCGTGGTGCTTTGGGACTGAAGCCTTCGTAGTCAGGAAGTGGAATATCACAGCTGCTCCCAGGCCAGGCTGCATTCCCTGGCAATGCACGTGGGGGCTCTGGGAGTTCTGTGCTTTTTGGGAAGGAAAACTGCCCAGAACCGAGCTCGTGGCAGGCAGAAAAGGAGAACAAACCATCCCCAGAGAACATGTGTGCAGGCAAAGCCATTTCCTGAGCTGGATGGCACAGCTGCTGCCCCCTGAATCCTCGCTTCCTGCCTTTCCAGCTGGATTATTTCTGCCACCTCCTGATGGAAGCCGGGCTGCAGTAACCCCTCTGTGAGCCTCCAGGGTGGCACACTGATCAGCTGCTGTCACTTGCAACCACTGGCGCTGCCAGAGCGGTGACAAACAGGCCTTCACTCCACATCTCAGTAACCAGCTGTCAGAGCAGCACAGGAGATTAAATTTGCAAGGGTTCTGTTAATATGTTAATGAACTACTTTAATTATGGCTTCTGGCCTCTTCTCGGCTGTTTCACCCAGCTAAAAATAACCTGACAAAATTGCGCTTTAAGTCACAATGACACTGGCAAATAAATCCCCTCCCAGAAGGAGCCATTCCAGGGAGAGCCCAGAGATTTACGGGCCAACTGGAGAAACTACACAAACATTTATCTGGACTCGGAGTCAAATGAGACAAGTGTGAGACAGCAACAACACTGCCACTTCCTGGAGGTGTCCAGTGATGGGTTTTTCCTTAATTAGCTTGTGTCACTGAGGGATGAAGCCTACTTGGAGATTTAGGAGGAGCTGATTGCTCCGCAGAGGAATCCAGCAAAGCCACATCTACACTGCAGCACAGACCTCTGGCACAGCACTTGGCAGGAAGGAGCTGCTCTGGAAGCCGCATTTACACAAACTTCCCATAGCAGAGCTGTCTGGACAAAACATGACCGGATTCTGCCAAGAGAAAAATCAGAGCTCCTGGCAGAACCCAGCACCAGTGCGGCAGCGCTCCAAGAGCAGATCCACCTACTGAGGAGGAGAGCATCAATAGGATGGAGGGGTTTTTAGTTCCCTCAAAGAGAGGAAAATCTGCCAGGATAGGCTTGCCAAGTGGCCAGAAGAAAAATAAAATTGAAAAATAATAAAATATCAGAGACAATCTAGTTGGCTTTCTGTACCAAAGTAGACGAAGATTCACTCTGCTCATTTATTGCTTGTTTTTCATTAGTGTTGGGACTCAAAAAATGGTAACACATCTGGAATATCACTGGGGAAAAAATATTCCTTTGGAGGACTGCACAGACCAGGGAGTAGAATGTGCACAAACCACAAGCAGAGCTGCTACTGCACAGCCAATTTTCCCCACACACAGCATGGAATCCCAGGATGGTTTGGTTTGGAAGGGACCTTAAAACTCATCTCATTCCAACTCCTGCCATGGGCAGGGACACTTTCCACTAGACCATGTTGCTCCAAGCCCCATTCCGTCTGGCCTGGAACACTTCCAGGGATGAGGTGTCCATCCACAATCACTTATGAAACCAAAGTCCTACCCTCCAGGAGCCATGGCTGCACCGTGGGATCCAGAACTTACCCTTCTTTGCTTCCATCAGCTAATAATCCATCAGGGATTTCCACAAAGAGGCTCTGGTTTGAGAGCACTGCATCCCAGGAGGAGGTCTTCACCTCTGTGACCTTGTACTGGAAGTGGACAATGTGAGGCTTCCCTTCATGCACTGGGACATCTTGGCTAACAGTGATCTTCTCATCCTGGGAAAATGAAAAATGTAAAGTTCCTGATCAGCCAGAGGACAACTGGAGAAAGCAAATGCAAAGCAATGGTCTTAGGGTTTTATTGAGAAGAGGATTATGCTTTTCCCTTCTCCTTTTGCTGGCTCAGGGACACATCACACAGTTCTCAGTCCTCAGAGTGATTTGTAGCCATGTTTTCCTGTTAAGGGAATGCAGTTTTACGTATTGACGTAATATTAAATTTCTGAGCTGAAGACTCCACTCCAGCCACATCTGGTGGTGCTTCATGAACTGCCCTTCCAAGAACACAACTGGACCCAACACCCAACACAGAGCTTCTGCTACCACAGCCCAGCCAGGTTTGGTGCCTCCCCCATCCCCAACACAGCCTTTCTGTTCCAGGAGTGACCACAAACTGCTTTCCCAGATTTTATGGTTTGCCTCCTGGTGTAAGGGAGGAAAACACAGAGCATAGGGAAATTCCAGAGCAGATCTGAAGCTTGTGAGGAGGTCTTCTCCAGAGACCACAAACACACATGTCCTTCCCCAGTCCTGCCCCATGAGGATGCCAAGCATGCAGATTACTTGGGAGCAGCTCAGCAGTTCCTAGAAAACAATTCAGTGGTTAAAGCCCCATTCCTTCAGACAATTCCTGCAGGCACTTGGCTTGCCCAGTAATGATTTCCATGTTTCAGTGCAAAGAGCCCCAGCAAAAGAAGCAGAGTTAACACTGTTACTGCAGTGGAGCTGAACTGTCCCCTGTGCTTGGTGACAGCTCGTGTGTCCCTGTCCCTCACAGGCACCCGGGCAGCTTTGAAGGGCAGAAGCAAAGCAGATACCCAGATCATGAGAGCACCTGGAGAGCCGTGCTCAGCAGGTGGGTGGGCAGTGGTTCACTCCTCTGGGTCATTGGGTGAGCGCTGTCCAGCCTCTGGATATTTTATTTTAACAGGGTGATTAATTCAGCAGCTCCTTACAGGCTCCTCAAGCCACTGCCTCAGTGCTTTAATTCCTCATATCTTAAAATAGATGCCCCTTGGTTTGACTGCTGTATGACAGAGAAGCCTCTGAGGACATTCACACTGGTGACAAAGTAATGCCATGTGCAAACTGGGAGCTGCTTGGCCTCTGAAAGCCGAGCAGAGGAAGTTGCCTTTCATTGAAAGCTCACAAAGCTGAGCTGAAAAACAAGTTTACACTTCACCAGAATAAATATCCTGTAGGAAACAAGTTTATTCATTGAGTTTGAAGGAAGTCTGAGTGGCTGAGTGAACCAAGAAATGCACTGAGAGCTGTTCCAGGCAGGTCAAGCTGTGGCTGTGATGGAGCCAGCAGAGAGGCAGGGCTGAATACAGAGGTTCTTAAAAAAACCAAATCCAAGGGGCTTATGTGTATATCCTCCAGCAGTGACTTCACAGGACCCTTTACAGCTGTTTTTTCAGTGCAGAAAGTGTTTCTGTTCCAGAAAACATCCTTCTCTCCAGAAAAGCTCACAGATCATACTTTTCCCATGCCCACAAAACTAAAACTGGGTGAGGAAGGTAAGGAAAGCAGGCTGGGATTGACACATGGGAGGTGTGCCTTAGAGTGGCAAGACTGGCACTGCCATAGGAAGGGAAAAGCATTCTGAGCCATTGGGCTCAGAACTTCCTTGTCACCAGCAGTTATGTCCAGTGCTCTAAACCCAGTGAGATTGTTCCACTGAACCCCCCTGTGACAGCCCAGGAGCCAAAGGCAGCACTCCACAGGGATTAGCAGAACCAGCTCCCCCGCTTCAGTGGGAATTACATTTACACAGCCCGGCTGGGAGAGCTGACACTTTATTTCTAGGCATCCAAACAGAGATGCTGGGGAAGAGAAAGGCTCTGTGGGCTGCTCCTGTGACGCAGCAGCAGCAGCCCAAAATTCTTTGGAAGCTGCTCAAAGCAAAATCCTGTTTATACAACAAGCGCTCGGTTTTAGTTCACCCTGGAAAAATCCCCACACAAAATCCCCCTGCCATGTTCCTGTGGACAAAAACCCCTGCCACCAGACTGGATTTTACCCAGCTGCCTAAACCCCGGCTCCCCAGCCCTCCAGCTCCATTTCAGCTTCCACTTGGTTTCAATTCACCAAGCACAAGACTTCCCAGCCCTGCTCTGCTGCTCAGATGTCCCAGGAAGGATGGGGGGAGGCCCTGGGGTGCTGGCAGGGTCAGAAGGAAGGATGTTGCAATCCACCCTGGCCAGGTGGCTGCAGAAAGCTGTGGAAGCACCCAGTGCTGCCATGTGCTACACCTGCAGCCTCCTGCCAGCCAGGGCACATCTCAGCTCTGCAGCACCCACACCGGTCACTGTGGCATTCCCAGCTCCAGCAAAGCCCCCTGGATGGAGAGCTGAGCTTGAAGTCTCTTAACACAAAAATTCCAACACTTGCAGAGAGCCCCAGTTTATGGCAGTGGTCTCTGAGTGCTGCATGCAGCAGCAGAGGCAGGTGTGTTCAGAAAGGTCATCCCTTGGAGTGGAACAGCTGTGACACAGCTGGAAAAAGGACAAACTTTCAGATCCAGATGCCTTCCCAGGTCATGCTGTGGCTGCTGGCTGGAAAGCTCAGCTGGTGCAACTACAATACTGCCAGGTCACTGAGGGGGCAGACAGAACCCTGTCACCACTCCAAGGTCTGACACACCCCAAATCCTGGGGTCACTTCTGGGCTCCTCATTCCAGGACAGACAATGAGGGGCTGGAGCATGTCCAGAGAAGGGAACACTGCTGGGGAAGGGGCTGGAGCACAAGTCTGATGAAGAGCTGGGGAGACAGCCTGGAGCAAAGAAGGTTCATGGGGGACCTTCTTGCTCTCTACAACTCCTTGACAGGAGGGTGCAGCCAGGTGGGAGCTGTGTTCTGCTCCCAGGGAACAAGGATGGGATGAGAGGAAATCACCTCAACCATTTCCAGGCCAGAGGAGGTTGGGTATTCGGGAAAATGTTTTCACCAAAAGGACTGTCCAGCCCTGGCAGAGGCTGCCCAGAGAAGTGGAGTCACCACCACTGGAGGGGTTTAAAAGCCCTGTGGATTTGGCACTTGGGGACATGGATTAGTGGTGAACATGGGCAGTGCTGGTGGAACAGCTGGACTCAATGACCTTAGAGGGTTCTTCCACCCAAACTATTCCATGATTCTTTGTTACAAAAAGGGCTGATTTTCTGACAGATTCTGCTAGTTTTGTCCAGCAATAAATCCAGGAGGAATTCCATCCATATTTCTGGGATGCTGCTATCTGGATGATATCCCCCCTGCCTACACACCACTGCCAAAATCTGTGCAAGTTCAGGCTGTACTGGAATCAAACACTCCAAAGTCTCCAAATCATGATTCCTTCCACTTCCTCCTCCATGCTGAGCCCATTTTCTGCCTCTGGGCCTTGCCTGGTGCACACACAAGGCTTGGCAAAGCTGGCTGGCAGGAATTCAGGCTACAGGGTCTCATTTCCCACCCAGAGGGGACTCATTACTTGTCCTCAACCCTCTTGAAGCTATTTTTGTATCTTTCTTCTGTGTCAGGAAGCCCACTGTGCTGCTTCTCTGGAGTTTGTACCCCCCAAACATCTGTGACATTCACCTCAAGCATTAAACTGATGGGACATTGTCATTGGAGGCTCAGAGGTTGGCATTTTGCAAGGGAAGCAGGTGAGGAAAGTGCTGAAAACTCACCAGAGGAAACTCTGAAAGCAACCATGAGGTCTGTGATTCTCTCAGGAACTCCAAGAGGAGACTCTGGGAGCTGTGGCCTGAAAGGGTCTGTATCTTTCCATCAGGTGACGTCTGTGGGCCGCCCACAGGTTAATTAAAAATCAGGTCTAACACCTATGACAACACCCCTGGCTCAACAGCCAAATTTGCAAGGTCAGCATAAATTCAGTCTGCCTCATTTAAATGGAAAAGCAGCCCTTGTCCCAGAAGGGAGACAGATCTGAGCCAAGTCACACAAGTTACTCTACAGGAAGGAGCAGCCAGGTCTCCTCATCTGAAAGGAAAGGTCCCACGGAATGAAGAGGAACACAAAGTGAGACAGCTGCAAGCCTGCAGACACAAACCCTTGCTGATCTTGCCCTGCCTGTGCTCATGTTCTAGAAGCAGCCCTGTCTGGGAGCTGCCTCTCCCATCTGCACCTCAGTTCAGGCAGCTCCCAGGCCCTGACAGCTTCACCTTCCAGACCAGGGTGCAGGAAGGAGCTTATCAACCCCTCCCTTGCTGCATTTCACCTTTCTGCTTCTTGCTTCCTTTCCCTGCCAGCCATTTCAGAAGCCCTTTCACGTTTTGATAATACAGGCTCCACGTACAATAGCTGCAGCAGGCCCCTGGGGACAGGCTAGTGAATGATCTGCTGCACAATGCTCTCTCATTTCTTAATAAACAGGTGATATTTAAGCAGCAGAGATCTGTCTGCAGCTCAGTCCCTGAAAAATTACCTGTTCTCCCACTTACTATCTCAGATTTCTTTGCATTTATTCCCATCAGACTGTGAAAGGACTGAGCACAGCTGTAACACAGGTAGAGGTCAAGGTTTAGATGTTAAATGTGTCTCACCTTATATATCAGAGCTGAAAGAGAAGGATCCCTGCCACCCCCTCGCCCACCGGGGATCTTCGACAGTGGGTGAGGGGCATCAGGAGCACCACAGAGGCCCTGGAACGATGTGCCTGCAGCACTGCAGCTGGGGACAGTTACTCAAAGGTAGGATACTACTGCAAGAAAAACAGAGAGAACACCGTGTTACCTTAGCAGGGATCAGGTTTCGGAGGCTCCAGCTTCTCAAACCTGCAAATCATTTGTATCCTTGCTCCTCCACAGCTCCCAGAGGTCAACAGAGAAACCACCCACTGCCCCAGTGGCACCAGAGCCCAGCGTGTTTTGTTGGGAATGGAGGAGGGGCTCGAGCCAGGAACCCAGAGAGTGCTGAGCAACCTCATGCTAATAAGGGAGGCCTGGAAGGCTGCCAGGAGCAGATGGCTGGGAACACATGACCAGATGAGCACACATTTTCTAGAGGCAAATATCTACAAATAGATCAACAGGGCCCAGGAGGAGAAGGTTTAAGTTTCACATTTTCAAACCCAGGAGAAGTGAAAGGGTTGGTTATCAATATGCTCCACAACATCCATGGCAATATTTTCACACACGTATGAAATGCCATGCAAGCATCCTCCACCCCAATCCTAAAAGTTACAAGTTCATCCCACAGAGCTACTTTGAACAGCAAGAAAACACATTTCCCTTGCAGTTTCCAAGTTTGTTTGGAAGTCCTACACACTGTCCTCCAGAATGGCTTTGGACACAGGCTTTAATACCTGCTCTGGCTTTTAGGAAGCTCATCAAAGCAAATTATTTTACTTCTGGGGCCTTGGTTCCTCTCTCAGCACCACAAGAGCTCTGTGCTGAGGCCCAGCAGTGTTCCTCTAGCACAGGCTACAAAAACAGTCCTTCTCCAGTGCTCCCATTCTGCAACACACCAGCACAAAGCTGTGGAAGCACCACCATAACAACAGTGAGGGGGGTTTCATGAGCACAGAGCGAGGAATGAGGCTGAGGTGGATAAATTCTGCAGCTGTTCTGACAGCCACTGCCTGCCCTGAAACTTCTCCCTTGAAGCGGTTCCCAATGCAGTGTTTTTCCACTCTAATCCCTGTCCACGAGGCAGACAGGCTTAAGTATCCAAACACCAAGTACAGAGCTGTGCTGTCAGAACCACCTCGGGTGCCCAGGAACAGGGAATCAGACTGGGCTGGGCTGGGAGGGACCTTAAAGCCCATCCAGACCCCCTGCCACAGGCAGGGACACCTTCCACTACACCAGGCTGCTCCAAGCCCCATCCAACCCGGCCTTGTAACTTGCCTGTGCCAGCTGCAAACAAACTGCTACAAGTTGGCATTTCTGAGTGCCAAAAACATAACTTACCACAGATCTCTGCTCACCACCTGCCACCAAAACCATCTTTCTACAGGAAACACTAATATTCTTCCTCCACATATTCCCTCCCCCAGCTTTGCTAGACAGGGCACTAGAGCAGCACTCCCATGTCCTAGAGCAGGCACCTCTTGGAGAAAAGGCAGTTTAAACACACCAGGAGATGTCTGGGGGCAAAACAGGGCGCTCTGTGCTCCCCGGTGTGCCTGGGGCTATCAATGGGCCAGTGTGTGCTCAGTAGTAGAGGATGTCGAGAGGATGACAAAGCACTTTGTGCCGTCCCCACCCCCGAAAGCTGTTGGCAGCTTTGTTATTCCCTTCCCTCCTCCCTCTACCCTCCAGCCAACAATGTACTATTGATAGCTCTTTGCAACTTGCGGCCAAGGCATCAAGAAACTGGATAATGAAGTGGAGTTGTGGGAAAAAAAAATAATTTAAAACAGAGAGGCAGCCAAAGACACTTCCCGGTTTCACTTCCTCTGGCACATGCAGAAGTCAAAACACCAGCCCCCTTCAGCTGCTGCCTGCACATCCCTGGCCCAAACCTGCACACCTCCCCCAAAACCAGGGTCCCTGCACACCACCACCCCCTCCACCAAGGACTGGGGTTCTGAAAGAGCACCCTCAGGGAAGAGAGTGTGTGTGGGACACAGATTAAAAGGGCTTTTGCTTTATCCAGCTGTGCTTCAGCTCGCTGGGAAGGAATTCATGCAAACACCCAACAACATCTGATCCCTTCATCCATCCTTGCGCAAACGCCAGCTCTCCCTGAGGTCTGTTGGTAGCCTGAAAGTTAGCGTGCTCCCTTCTGATGTCTGTCCTCCTTGGAGAAGCTGCTTTCCTGCAGCTCGGTTCAAATTAAGATGCATTTAGATCACCAAGGCCTTCCCGTGGAGAAACTCCTCAGTGCAAGCTGCTCGCTGGTGCCCTGCCCAAAGGGGAGCTGGAAGCCGATGTTCAGCTCTCATCCCGCGGTGTAATTTTAACTCGCTAAGCTCCCAGCGATCCCAACCCCGTGCCCTGTCCCTGGGAAGTGCAAAGGGCAGCTCAGCAACTTCAGAACCCCATCATCACTGCTCCTAGGCAGCCCTGGCACACAGAGCCAGGCTGAGAGCACCACCAGGGGCTGCAATCCACACACTTCCTTGTGCTTTGGGGGTTTTATTTGTTTTGAACACTTAGACCAGATGGAAGGACCCACAGAGCTCTCCTGACGTTGGAGAAGTGACTGTTTTGTTTGTTTTCCTTTCTGCCCCTTCCCAAAACAGGCTCTGGAGCTGAATAGCTCCCAAAACAGCTCTGCAGCTGCACCTGAATAATAATTATTAATACTACTAATAACAGCAGTAATAGTAAAAATTATTATTATTATTGCTGGACACATATCCAGGAGCCTGATTTGAGGAGTAAATTGCAAATAAGCATCGGATGAACACAGCTCAAGCATGGCAGCGGGCAAGACCCGAGGCTGCTCCACAGGCATCCTCTGGGCGCTTATCGGCGACAGAGGCGCAGGAAATGACACTCTGGGGACCCCAAACAAGGAACGGACACACAAGACAAATCGGCCAGCTGAGAAAAATACACAGATCCTGCAAGTCCGTGCCTGCTGACACCCAGCCTGCCGGGAAGAGCCACCTTCCTGCAGGCAGAGAGAGGCGCGGGGAGGGAGCGCTGGGACCCCGCCGCGGCCAGGGCCGCACAGCGAGACGGGCCCAGGCCCTGGCGAGCCCCGACCCACCCCCGGGGGCTTCCTCCAGGGGGAGGCATCGCCTCGATGGGGATTTTAAACGCGGAAAGGCGGAGCGGCCTCCCCGCGTCCCGCGGCCTCCCCGCCGCCTCAGCGCCCGCCCGCGCCCCAGGCCCGCCCGCCGCCGCCGCGCTGAGGAGCGCGGGAGGGCGGGGAGCGCGCTGCACACCTGTCCTGGGTGTTTATCATCGTGCGCTCGCTCCGGTGTGCCTGCGGTGGCTGTCGGCGCTGCTGGCGCTGGTGCCCGGCTGTGCCCCGGCTGTCCCCGGCTCCGCTCCGCTCCGCTCGGCGCCGCGCTCCGACTGACCCCGCGGGCCCGCGCGCCGCCACGCCCCCCGCGCC